GTTTCTCTTAAGAAGACTGAAAGTTGAGGGTGACATACGGCACGCGCTCACTAGACATGATGCATGAGCATGCTTAAAAAAAGGTCTTTAAGGAATGTCCATAGAATTAGATGAAAAGAAAAACACACAAATATAATCGGTTAATTTCTAAACCTTACACCTTATTCCGTATATTATGTATCTTGTCAAAAAATATGCTTGTCTTAAAAATATCTTGAAGATATCCTTAGCACGTTTTTAACTCGTACAATGACATTTTAAAACATCTTAATGTTCCCTAGATTTTTTTTTCATTTCACATTTCAATTATAATTATAAAAATGCACATATTTTGCACGCACCTTTTATACCATTAGGAATATTCTTTTAAGGATAGATTCTTTTGAAAGTTTCGCCAACTGATGAGGACCTATAAAAAAAAGCAGAATACGGTATAAAAAGCAGAACAATGGTCAAACATAAATTTGAAAATAGTTAGGCGTATCATCTCCAGTCCTACATAATTATTAAGACGATTTAAGAAAAAAGAAAGAAATATAAAGAAAATATAAAAAAGAATAATAAAGAAATGAAAACAAAATGAGAAGAAAAACAAAGAAGCGAAAAGAAAGAAAAAAGTACAACAATTGCAATTTTAGAATGTTTTTGAGGACTTTTCACGGCAAAATCAATTATCCGGTATATTTAAGCTTCGGTTCCTTTTATATTTGACATAATACTATTCTATCAAATTATAATACATACAAATAATAATAAATGAATAGTCTATGACGACAGAAAGATAATAATAATTGACACTTAGAAAAATCATTAATACAATATAATAATACCATTCTTATTTTATTCTGAATAAGATTTTGCCCTATGAAAAAAAGAAAGAAAAAAAGAAGGTTTAATAAATACATTAAATTAGTTTTTCCTTTTACATCACATTCTTTATTGGTCGTAATATAAAATAATTGGTAACAATTATTATTGGTTCGTATTAAATATCGATAAAATATTTATAGAACACGCGTAGTACACAGTATGATGCGATTTAAAATGACGGAAGGGTAACTCTGAATGAACCCGGTTCCCTTTTCGAACGGGTGCCAACCTGTTGAACGGTGAAGGGGATTTTAATTTTTTTATATGTGCGCTCGCGAGCTCGTATTACCAGCCACAGTACAATGGGTATCAACCTGTTGAGAGAAGGGGAGTTTTTTTTCTCTCACGTCTCGTTCGCATTAGGCACGGCCCTGTTCATAGAAAGAGAGAGTGTCAAGTACCGTTTTTTCATCATCGACTTTTTATAAGCGCCTAAGCACCCTACGTCAAATCGAGGAACAAGTGCAGGTACCTGCACAACCATGGGGAAAATGATAGTATTAATGCTTCTCTCTCTCTCTC